AAAGAAAGAAAGAAAGAAAGAAAGAAAGAAAGAAAGAAAGAAAGAAAGAAAGAAAGAAATTTCAGAATATTAGGAGGTACACGTGTTTTGTTTACATGATTTGTTTTTTGCACAAATTGAGTCAAGGTTATAAGCATGCCTCAATGCAGACACTATGCTTTGTACCCAATAGGTGTGGATTTATTCATACCCTTCACCCCCCATTCCAGCTTGATTGTCTTTGAGATTTACTTTTGTATGTGCACTTAAGTGTTGGTTGATCAGTTCCAACAATGTCATTGTTATTTAATTTCTATTTTGGGGAAGGTTTTCATGATACATATCATACATTAGTAGTATTTAGATATTGAGGTGTTTCTTGTTTAGTTTTTTAAAAAAATAATTTAATATGTATATTTGATGTTTACAACATGATGTTATGGGATACATATAGATAGTAAAATGGTTACTGTAGCGAAGCATATCTGTTGTCTCATAGTTACTTTTCAGTGACAAGAACAGATAAATGATATTTGTTTTATTTTTAATAATAGGGGTGTACCATCTAAAAAGAATTGAAAACCATCCTTCTAAGACTGTAGGCTTGGTTTCTAATCTTGGCTCTGCCACTGACTAGTGCAATACCTTAGGCAAAGTTTTCTCACTGGTTCCTCAGTTTACTTACCTCTAAAATGGAACACTGAACTAGATATGTTAGCTCTTAGTTCTTTAGTCCTCACCATCTCTGAGTATAAGAATTCACAGCCTTTCAGGCTATTGAAACCAAGACAGAGTTAAGAAGAGTAGGTTCAAGCCCTGGCATCTTATTGGATGCTTTGTTCCTCAGTCAGCTGCCTTGCTGTTTTCTTCTCCATCCTTACCTCTTCCACCTAGCCTGGACTGACACATGCTTCTTTTACATAAGCTAGGCTGACCTACTTGAAATTCATTTGTTATAAATACAACCACTTTTCTTGTAGACTCAAACCTTGTGCTATCCCTCCTAGCCCCTGAGGGTGGGTGTGATTTTGTTTCTCTTGTGTCTTTTCTGGCAGCCTAGGTTTAGATGTTTTAGTCTTCTGTTTAAGTCTTTAACAACAGGGCCTAAAGGGAAGCCAGCTCATCTTGTTTGAGTCCCCTGGGGCCTAACCTAGCAACTGCTCACTGAATGCCCCTGCTGCCTGCTTGTCCACCATTTATTGAATATCTGCTGGGAACACAGGATTATGCTACAGTTTGTTGGGAGAAACATGGTCCACCCAGGGATAAAAGGCTGCTGACAGGGACTATAAGTATTGCTAGGTGTCTTGGCCTAGGATAGATTTTTTTTCTTTTGCAGTGAGCCAATGCGGAGAGGGAAATCAATGAACCACTGGAAACTATCTTCACTTTCTGTTGTAGATTTCGTTTTTGGGGATGCAAAGATTCTCTGAGGAGACACCTACGTTCTCTTTGGAAATGCAGGCCAAGGCCCAGAGAGCTTCTGCCGAGACTGTGGAGGAAGACTTAAAGGTGGTTTAAATTGATTGAACAACTTTTATTTTTTCCACCTCTTCACCAGATACAGGAGCAGGTCACAGTGCTCCTGACTAAATGGTGTTCTTGTTTTCACCATCTTACACCAGATGGCCACATTTAAAGAGACTAGAAACATTGGTTCTAACCATCTTCTCCCTGGCTTCTCCCCGGCTCCTACCCCTACCTACAGCTCTTCTTCCCTACAAGATCTTAACATGACATATGTCAAATGGATAAAAAAATTATTTTCCCTTCTCCTCTTTGCCTTGCTCACCCACCCTTTGGCTGTGGTGTTGATGAGTATAGAACTATGAATGTGGGAGGAACGGAGGACAGATTCTTCATGTAGTTCTATTCCCCTCCTACCCTTCTGGAAAACTAGAGGAGCCCTACCTCAAACCTTGTCCAGAAAACTTCCAGGCTGGGCTTCCAGGCTTAACTCTCAGAAATAGTTAAGGCTTCTAGGACTAGTCCTTGGGAAACTAAATGAAGAAATTCAAGTGTCCAGGATGGCACCTGTGGCTGAAAGGAGTAGGGCACTAGCCCCATATGCCAGAGGTGGTAGGTTCATACCCAGCCCCATCTAAAAACTGCAAAAAAAAAAAAAAGAAAGAAAGAAAGAAAAAGAAATTTAAGAGTCCAGATTTAGGCCTTAAGATGGCTCTAGGTCACTTCAGAGACTTGGGGCTCTTAGAGTCTCCCTACCTCTATCCTAGGCTTGCTTTGGTCAGCTCTCATCTCTCAGGGTGTAAAGTCAATAAGAGACATCTGGTTGGTTGCTGGAGTTCAGTTTCCACACCAAGTCCAAGAAGAAGGCCATGATGGCCTGGGGCAGGAAGAAGGGCACCCAGTAGCCTCAATGTATGGATGAGGGGCAAAGTAACCCACAATTAGAGATGGCATGTGTCTGAATCAGTAACTCATGGACATTACTGAGTCTGTTATTATTATTATCATCATTTTACTAAGTTTTCAACTCTTAGAGGCTGCTTTGGGTAGACTGAATACAACTCTAGGAAATTGCTTCTAGATTGTAGGATAGAGAGATGCTGCTAGGAGTTTCCATTAGGACTAGTACTGGCCTCAGTGCCTGAAGGTTGGGGCAGGGGTGATAATGAAACAGAGCTGGTACAGGTAGCCTCCACATGGCGGACTGGGAAAATATTACTAGGCAAGCTACTGTTACTCCTCAGCCTGTCTGAAGCTGACATCGAAAGGGGAAGCCTAGAGACAGAGATTCAGAGAGTCTATTTTTTACTGAATGGCCCAGTGCAGTAAGGGTGTAATTCTTGTACTTCAAACTCTCTGGTCCCAAAAAGTTTAAGACAATTGGTCTCAATATGACATGTGCTTCAAAATCATTTATACTGCTTGTTGAAAATGCTGGTGTGATTCTGAGTAAGAGTCTGTAGACTTTAGAAACTGGTGTCACGAGTCAGAGGTGCCTGAATCACAGAAAAACATCTAGAATGTGATAATAACTTTTCCTTCCAAGATGTTCTGGGGATGCAAGCTAAAGTGTTTATCAGATTTGGAGTTGCTCTAGTGTAGGAGACTTATTCAGCCAATAGCATCAAGGTTGGTAGTCCAAGAACATGTATTCTCTCTGATTTGTGCAATCCTTGGCCCATTTGTCTACATTTTTAAAGGATGCATTTCCTCTTTTATGTCACTGCACACTTGAACCTATAGTTAAACTTACATGGCACATTTAAATTTTGTTGATTAAAAAAAGGTAAAAAAAGAATATGCTTATTATGCTTCGAACTTCTTTGAAAATAATTTAGTTAATGTTCTTTAAAAAATTTTACAGCATACCTAAGATCCTCTCACTGCATACCACTTGAAAATCACTGCCTCATGCCAAACTCTTACCATTGTGAAATTTGGGGAAACAGTTGAGCGTCACTTCAGAAACTCCTGAGCTCATTTGGTTGAGTTAGTGGCTAGGAGGTTTCATATCAGAAGTATCTATTGTTAAATTCAAGACTAAGCAAGCTACTTACCTTTGTTCATCTGTTTGGTCACCATTATAGCTGAGATCATCTTGTAACTTCCCTTGGATGAAGTGTGGGAAGAAGCTTTCCTTTGTTATTAACCTGGAATGAATGAGAAAATAAATATCCTGGATGGCTTATACACTCAGGAGATTGTCTGGATTCCCCAACCTTTTAGGTACTGGCAGGTGCCAGTTGGCATATGATCAGTGTCTATATTGGCCTCTAGATCAGGTGGCCTGTTTTTTTTTTTTTTATTGTTGTTGTTGTTGTTGACCCTGATCCCCACCTGTGCTTATCTTTTCATATCAAGCCAGCCCAGCATGGTTTCATGTCTGTCAGGTGTGATTGAAGCCAACAGTAAATCTTTCATTATATTAAAGTGAAGAATGGATGGTATAATGGGACATAGAATGAAGCCGATGCCTAATGATTCACAAATCATATGCCCAAATTAGGAAAAAGATGATTGTGTCATGAAAAGAGATGATATTTACATATTTCTTTTCAGTACATTTAGAGGCATCATCACATGAATGTATTGATTATTCTGCTCATAAATAAAATTAGTTATGAGCAATAGTAATACCCAAATCAAAACTGGAACCAAACAGGTGTGAAGTTTTAAGTCCTGGGGAAAAGGAAAAGCAATTCTTGTGATTACTTTTATATTCATGATGGAGTTTTTCTTACCTGGCAGTGATCTGTGTTCCTTTCCATGATGATCAGGCACCTGTGCAGAACTTTTTAGTAAAAAGCAGCTTGCACCAATAGCCACCTGGCCAACAATGGATTGATAAGTAGGCCCTCTGGTTTTATATTATGTAAACAGCTTCCTTGGGCCAGTGGAATGTCCTGTAACCTGAAAGAGATGCTAACTCTGTTGCTGTGATTTGCTTCAGTGGTTGCCTGGATTTAGGACTGGTAATAGAAGTTTAGATGGAAGCTAAAAACAGTGGTGTTCATTTGGGCTAAGCTATCATTCACAAGTGTATTATCCTGGTTTCTGGAGAATAGTATTCAGGTTGACAACTTGAGTAACAATTCCAAATTGTCATTTTCTTCTTAGGTAGGTAGAAAGCGACAAAGGTAGAGAGGATGCAGCCTGGAGCCCTTAGGGAAGAGATAGATTAAGGAGAAGGTGGGACAACATACCACAACTGGGAAGAGGCAGTCTGTTTCAAGTATCCATATACCTAACCAATGATTAAGGGTATGGCTGAATCAGAGGTACAGAGGTAGGATTTCATTTGCCTGCAGAAGATTCAGTTTGGCAAGTGTGGTGGAAAGAGGCAAGGGTTGTATCTAGAGATGGGACTAGATTAAGGAGATCTTTGATAGATTAACTGAGGGGAGTTTGTTACAAAAGGAGAATCGTGTCCAGTTGCAGCATAGCAGACTGTCCCTCCATGCAGGGACTTTGCCCGACAGCCTAGGGTCTGGCAGACAAACGGAGAGAAGGCACTGTGAAATTTATACACACAAAGTGTTTTGACCCTTGAGAGATGACAGCTGTATTAGCCCCTGGAGGCTAACAGGCACCACCCAGACCTGATTATTCAAGGCTTTTTTATTAGGGGTATTGTGGGCATGCATACTCAAGGCATAAAATTCTGAAGATAATAGTTTCATGTTACAATTAAATAGGCAGTTTTTTGTTCAAGGAAGAAAGCTATCTGACTGAAGGAAAGTGGAATGCTAAACTACAGATCAAAGAATACTTTGGGTAGGATTTAATGAGGGAAATTTATAGCCTATGGGTAAGATAGCTGCAGCTGGAGGGTAGTTTTCAAGTTTTATTTAGGTCCTGTCTAAGCTGTTGATCTGTATCTAGACATTTCCCAGACTATTGTTTCGTCTACTTTGCTGGACATTCCAGCACCTTAGGTGTGCCTCGCAGTGGAGCAGCTGAGACTTGGGGTAGTTCTGGGGATGTCAGCCTATTCTAGCTTTCACCCATAGGAGTTACTAAAGCTTCTTAGACATAGAGCGTGGCACCAGCAAAGAAGGTTCGATAAATACATCATTAAGGAATAGCGTGAGTAAGAGAGAGACCTGTGGGGAACTGGTAGGCCTGTTGGGAGACAGTTTGAGGTGATGAGGACCAGGCCTAGGATGGGAAAGTGGGATTGAAGGAAAGAGTCATATTGAGAGACAGACATGAGGAAGGGCAAGAAGGTTTTCCTGAAATGGGAAAAATTAATAAGGAGGGGGAATAGAGGTATATGATGAATTTGACATATGTGTTATTGACAGTAGCAGGCCATTCAGTGAAATGTGGAGCAAGCAGTTAGAAATATGAGACTAGAGGTGATGTCATGAGAAAAATGTTTTCTTTGAAGAACTAATGAAGAGAACAAAAAGCAGAGGTCCCTAGTGAATTTTGAATGGGGCAGTCAAGAGCTTAAGCAGAAATCCCATTCCTCAGTATTTTCAGCCATTCTGACTGGCCTGCACTTTAATGTGCTGCCAGCAATGCCTGAGTCAGTTATTTTCAGGAAGAGACTAGTCAGCTGCAAATTCTCATTTTTCTGAGCAGAGGGCAATAAAAGCATCCTATTCAGCAGAAAGGACAGTGAGGAGAAATAAACTATAATAATGAAATCCCTATCCTTGGCAGAGCTGAAGTATTAGTCTCAGTAAAATATGATAACTGGAAGGAACTTGAGAAGTCATCTGTCTTGTTCTAGTCTGTGACTTGACTGATTCAATCTGAAACAGGGAAAAGGACCTGTCCAAGATCATTCAGTGAGTTACTGGCAGAGCTGCTTTCAGTGGTCAACATGAGTCTTTGCTGTACATTATGGTGCCTCTTAACTGCTGTTGGAGCAATATACCTTTCCAAAAATGGGGAGGATAGTTAGCCTTCAGCAGTCTGGGAAACGTAGCCAATGTCTATTTTTAAGGCTATATTGAAAAAATATCTTGGCATATTCAGGAGAGATCATACAATCCCAGCGTATTTTAAATATTCTTAAAGGGACCAAGGAAAAGAAT